GACAAAAAAAAAAAAAATGACATTCCTTCACTAGTTCTCATTGATTTGCACTGAAGTTTTTAGACTACATCTAAGCAATTATGACTATTCCGGTCCCATATATAACTTAAATACCGGCATACGTACACCTATGATATAAAAAAATCCCACACAATCATAAGCGTCGAGACAGACATACATATATACATACATACATACATACATACATGCCTATGGGATTAAAAATGACAACATAAAGAAAAGGTAATGAAAGAAAGGTATATTACAGAAGGTTTGCTTGGACATGTTTAGAAATAAAATTAACTCTCGTAAGCAAGCCAATAACTAAAGACGACCTTCGTTACACTCTTTCTCTCTAGCTCTCGCTCACGCTCATACACACACACTCTCTCTCTCTCTCTCTCTCTCTCTCTCTCTCTCTCTCTCACTTTCCTTCTTTACATTTTCTTAGATACATACGCGCTTATATACATTTAATAATATGTTTTACCAAATTCCTGTGGGGAATTTCATTCATTACTTCCAAGAAGGTAAGAGCTAGAGAATAAGCAGGTGGTCATAGCACGTTACAGTTGCCTAAACAATTCATAGGTATTTGTCGACAATTTTACAAGAAACAACACATCAAATTTCCTAACAATACCTTGCAAATCGTTAAACCTTACTAAACGTTTATATGGCTCCAACCAAATACCAAAATAATGCTAATTAGGAAATTCCAAAAAAAAAAAAAAAATCGGTATAAGTCGGTTTGAAAATTTTCCTTTAATTAAGAAAGATATGTATGCCGCAAATTATTAGAGGAACAAAATGTGCAAATGTTTTCATACCGTTTGCAACATCTGTACATATTCTAAGATTCATAGATTATTTTCTTTATTTATCGCTTATATCATACAAAAGTTAAATGCAACAAGTAAGAAAATTATATTCGGTCATGACCGCATCTGTGATACCCATCATTGTTATCCTAAATGGACTAAAAGTAAAGGAAAAGAACTAAATTTTCACACTCGATCGTACGGAGTAGGCGCGGCGGATTTCTCCTCTTTTCAGAGTAAACGTGGATTTTCATTTAGTGTACGTACTGTTGTACTTACTTCTGAGTAACAAGCAAAAAACATGGAAAGCAAAAGTATTCACAATCATTTTTACATAAGCGTGTGGGCGTTGCAGGTGTGTTCTCTAAAAAGTTCGGATAGTTTTTAAATTCTTTTCAAAAAATAAATTTGTGGGCGATATGTTCATTTTTGCGAATGGGAAAAAGTCCACCACAGATACAGACAGAGGAACGAATGGACATGCCTAGGTGCATTCGAAATTTAAGACTGACCAGCAATTTATTTACTTTATGGCGTTCTTAAATCTTGCATCTATCTGCGCATTAAAAAGCTTTTGAAAAAAAAATGCAATTTTTACCCTAGAAATTTGATTAGACATGGCCAATTTTTTAATTTTTATGCAGGTGCTACGTCGTCCGTAGAATATGCATACAAATTTTTGTAGATCCATTTGTTGCAGTTTATGAGTAATGAGCAAGAAAATCAAATTGAGGTGCTCTCAGCTTACGTACTGTACAGCGAGCCGTTGCAATACCAAGGGACAAGCTGACATGCTTAAACCGATGCAGAATTTTATCTTGATCGTGGATTTATGATCGCACTTTATGAGGTCTCTGAAGCTTTCTTCTGGCTGTAGCAAACGCTTGGATAAAGTGAATATGCACCTCATCCTTCAATGATGGATATAAAAGCATAAATGCCAAGGTGCATAATAATCTTGATATGAAAGAAAAACAGACTGTATACGAGGTATGCTCAAAACAACTGACTGATCTACATACACTCGATTTTGAAATTTTTTTTCTTTTCGTAATCTTGATATCAGAAGTGCTTTGAGCATTGAAAAAAGCTTTGCAGGGGCCAGGGTAAATAGATAAATAATAGACGAATAATTAAATATTTTTCCAGAAAAATAAAAAGTTATCCTTTTCTTTGAACCCACCTTGTATACGTACAGAAGTTATAAGCTAAAGTTCATCTCCATTTATTCTCCTTGAATATCCTTCGAATTGCACATATTATGATCATATGAGCAAAAGTGCTTCTTGTGCCTTTTGCCCTGCCCTTTTATTTAAACGTCAAAGGATTAGGAAAGAACACGAACAAAATAAATGGAATAAATGAAGTACAGGAGTAGAAAGGCTAAAATTTTCGTTTCGATAATTACGTTATGAGGATCTCACAGAATCTACTAGATTTTAAAATCAAGCCCCGAGAAAGAAGCAGAAACTACTCTTTCTTTCTGTAGCAAGTTTCAAAGTTTTTTGAAATGTAGAAAATGGAAGGTAGACTTCTTTTTATCAGTGCTAACGTCTAACCTAATAGGTCTCTTAGAAACACGAAGCAGAAATCGATACTCGTCTTAAAGCAGCTTTAAAAGTGTTTTATTAATCATGGCCGTACAACCGTTAACCATCAGGAATTATGCTTGCTTTCACCTTTAAGATGGTCTGGGCAGCTATTCAGTCCGCAGATTATACCTGCTTACTGAAAACGGACTTTTGCTTGTTACTAGCGTATTAAAAGTATTACCATAGCATTTAACTTAGCAAATATGAATATATATTTGTATGTCAGGCTTTTTACTTCGAAATTTGCAAACGTCAACGCTCTAAGAACAAGCACACTTGGCTAAATTAACTCCAAGTCAAAGGCATTATGTATGATTAGAGGCGAGTAACGAAAACGTACTTAAAATGAAGGACTTTTACAAAACAAAATACATAACTGTTGCTTAATTTCCATGAATTTTCACATATACATATAACACTAGGATTAAGCAAGGAGGAAGACCGATATTCAAGGTTTCAGCTGTGCTTGGTTTTGTGTGTATCGGAAAACTGCGCCGAAGTCGCTCAAAAATCAAGGTGACGTTAACAGTTGTGCACTATGAATTCCTTTCGCCGAGACAAACAATATAATTTGTGCTTGAGAGGATTACTTTAAAACCGACGAAATAGATTTGGAATAATAAGTAGATTTGAAAACGAAAAAATTAACTCGTTTTTCTTTTTTGGAGACAGCGGCATATATTTTTTAATACGACCCAATCACTCAGGCATTTCACCTCTCGACGTAGACCCCACTGATGGCCGGAAAGAAAAGGACATTGAAGAGGGAATTGGCCGCAGCCTGGTGAATGTGTGACCAAACGGCAAATGTTATACCATCTCTGGGCACTCGTTATAGCTACGACTAAGCACACTCCACCGTATTGAGATATGGACACGTAAACAATGACTCGGTAGCCGCGATTTTTATCTTTTCAGCTACTTGAGTGCTTCTTTAGAAATTTCTAATCACTCTATATAAATGGATATATATCTATATATATATATATATATATGATTCGCTTATCGTTGCGAATAGAAGCTTCCACAGAAAATCGAGCGTAGGAGAACAATTGATTAAAGTCCGAAGAACTCAAAGTAAAACTTCAAATGCCCTGCAGATATTTCTTTGTAGAATAGCATAAATCAAGTAAAAGTATACGCTCTAGCAATAGTTGCTAATTGGAAATGATTTGAAGATAAATGCCGGACCAAAGAATATAATCAAGTTAATAGTAAAAAAAAAAGCTCCTCAATTTATATTGTTAATTAATTGTTAATTTATATATTTATCGTAGCGTAAACATAAGTTTTGTCTTTTATTAAAGCCTCAATATATTGTAAATTTCCATTCATATCGCACGACCACTAATGCAGAAATATTTACCAAAATATGAAGTCATGTGAAAAAATATTCCCAAAAGTTTCTCATTACGTATAAGTAATAATGTTATATTCGCATTAGGAATGAGCGGCGTTGCCCCCCACCTAGGTCGATAATAGGAAGAAGATTTTGCTGAATTGTGGGCGTGTAAATTTATGGAGGAAAACTTTAGAAGAAATGATTTTCTTAAACATTTGTGACAAATTTTGTATAAACTTTGGTAGAGGAATCACATCCTGATTCAATTTTGATGTACGGCCATTAACTAGGAATACATTCGTGAAATTTCAGTCTGTTCTTGAAATTTTTACCAACATAAAACATACGGCATTAGATGAACGTTGTTGAATGGGCGAATATTGTTACATCGATTCTTCAAGAATCTTAGCCTCTATGGTAATGTGTCCCGTATGTATGTATACACTCGAATAATATAGGTAAAACGGTTATTTTTCTTCAAAGAAACGAAGAGAAAAGAAAAATCTGGTAATACGTGTGATGTTTATATCTATCCATCTATCTAATCTACTTTTTCAGATTAAATTTGAAAATGAGCTAAATTTTAATTACCACGAGTAAATTATCAAAAATTATATATGTATAAATTTAACTAAAATTAATTATGTCAAGTCTTACTTTGGAGCGTAATAATAGTTATGGTCGCCAGGTGTAAGTGATCATCTAAGAGGAATACTTTTATTAAAGATGACCACGGCATGATACGGCCAACTTATGACAATTTATTTTTAATCTAAACTTATCAACAACTATTTATAAGCAACGCTAATCACCCACACAGGATAGTAAATGTTTGAGATTCGCTATGAAAATAAGGTTAAGCGACTTAGCTCTTAAAATTAAAAGCATCTCTAAATAAACAGTTCAATTTATCGTAGACGACACATTAAGGCTAATTAAACTAATCTTCTCATCTCATCTCATCTCATCTCATTATCTCTGAACCATCTATCTAAGGATGAAACTCATTTAAGATTCGTTGTAGAATGCATTATGTTAAAATCTTTAGGATTTAATTTAAACAAGTCTAGTTATGATTAGATTCAAAATTAATTGGACCATGTATGGTGTAGGGCGTTTCCGAAATTTCTGTGTAAGATTTTTATTAGATTGGAAATCAACTTTAATGTTTTATATTTAAGAAAAACAAACAAAAAATAAAAATAAATAAATAAATTCATTTTCGCAATATTTGTTTTTACTTACGATCTGATTTACTGTTGCGTCGGCTACCACCTCCTGCTTCCTCAACGAATAGCGGCGAATGCCTGCGGCCGCTAACCATTGAGCAGCATAAACTCATTATTATGAATTTATAGATAAGTGAAAATACACACATTGTTGGTGGTTTTGAAGTTGCTGTTAATAATGCTGTTGCCGTCGCCGTTGATGGCAATGACAACGATATTGTTGTTGTTGATGACGACGATGATGATAATTTTAATAAACTGTTAGCCATTATATCAATTAAATTATTTATATATATTAAATTATATGAATTAATTCTTTCTTTCTTTTTTATTTATTTATTTTTTTTTTTTTATTTACTTTATTTTTTAAATTAAGGCTTTTCGTATTTTTACACGAAAATCCAGTACATTTACAATAATTCTTTTTTAATGGAAATTACAGATTAGATAACACGCATACACATATGTATGTATTTAAGCTTCTTTTATATCTTTTTTTTATAATTTTATTGTGTAAGAATTTTTTTTTTTGCTTTACCTTAAACAAGTGCTCGCATATTCTTGTTTTTTTTTTTTTTTGTTTTTATTTTATTTGTTTTTAATGCGCCAGCGAGTAGACAGACTCACACATTTCTTATGCTTGGTTGGATTTTAGTTTTGCTGTTATTTCACCTTATTTTTTGTTTAATTTACACATTCGCGTTTTTTTTTTTTTTCTGCTTTTTCGAATTTTTGTTTTTTTTTTTTTTCCTTTTTCGAATGATTTAAAGTTATTTCTTCTTATTAAAATTTAATTTAATAATAAATATATATATATAGAGTGTTGAATAAAAGAAAACATGTATTTAAGACGTTATTAATCTTTCGAATAAAAAATTTTCCTTATAAAATTGCTTTTCTCTATCGTAATTTTCTTGAAACTTTTCCCCTTATTTTATTTGTTAATAGTATTAGATCAACTGTTGCTCCTATAGCTTGGATTTGAGTGCGCCAAGTTGAACGTTTCGGAAAATAATGTCCACACACTCGATATCGGTCGATGAATAAATAAACTAACATACAACGCGAAATACTATCGAATGAGAAAAAAGTGAAAAAAAAAAAAAATAATAATAATAATAATAAAACGTTCGCATATAGAAACGCGCAAAAAGCCAGAAAAAAAACTCTTTTTTTTGCGGTTAAGATATTGAGATATACACAGACTCAACTCTATACTTTTCGTAAGTATTTTGTTGCTGTTGTTGTAGTCGATTCTCCCGCTATTTACTGTATTTTTTCATTTCGGTTTTTTATTTTATTTTATAACCGCTCGAATTGCTCTCGTGCCACAATAGTTGGAAAAAATATTTCAGAGCGCAATGCAAGAAAATAGAATAAAAAAAAAAAAAAATAAATAAATAAACGAAATCTGTTTTATTCTTGTTTTATTTTGTTTATTTATTCGCTAAATATCAGCTGCACTCTTAAGGTTACGAAGAGACAGCGCGAAATAAGTTGAAAAAAAAATCTTTTTTTTTCGAATTTTTATATTTCAAGTTAACTTTATTACAATTATCTGCACGATCCACGATCCCTACACTTTTTGCCTTGCAATATCAATATTTTACATCTTCAAGAATATCTTTATAATTTTAATTAATTTTCTTTTACTAATTTTTTTTTTTTCATTTATATATACATACATTTTTTTTTTTTCTAAGATCTGTTAATTTTTCATTTGTTTATTTCTTTATTAAAAAAAAAAAAAAAAAAAGGCCGTAGAATACTTTTAATTTTTTTTTTAAATTTTCCTTGGTGCGCGCCGCTACTTTTCAACTTAACATTTCGCTCGCTTAAATTAAAAGTGTCGATGTCGATGTTTGTACCTAAGTTTTTTGATGCCTCTATGCCTCTGTTGATACACAAGTCTTTTTTGAGAGTACATTGAAAGTCGTTTTTGTTATTGTAAAATTTTTGTTTTGCTCTGTTGATACACAAGTCATTTTTGAGAGTAAAAATTTTGTTGTTTGTTGTGAATTGAACTGAAAATATGTAGAAAATGTTTAGATTTATATTCATGCTTCTCTCTATTTCTTTCTCTGTTTTTCAGACACGAGTAACTAAAGCAATATCTCTCTGAGTAAAAAAAATGTTACAATAACAATGCCAGCAATCCCCTAATGCTGCCAAGTAATCCTCTTAGAGTAAATAAAATTTTACAATAACAATGCCAGCAATACCCTACTGATGCCACGAAAGAAAGAAAATCTACTCATTACTCGCTCTTAACTTTGTGTTGTTTTGCTTTGCTTTCATTTATATTGCACATATAGTAACACTCTGCCCTGCCTTTGTGTTTGCCATTGTCTCTCTGCCTATATCTTTCTCTTTCCCGTCGCATTAACTCGACAATAAATGTGGCTGTAGATAGTTGGCTAAGTGCTCACATAATCAGACCAGGTCGATTCCACTATATGCACTCTTTCGTGCTCACATTCATTTGAAAATTTGTTTCAATGTTTAACAACACCAGGTAACTTCAGACGGTTTGTATATATATATATATATATATGTATAATGTTAAATTGTTACATGAAATTGCAAAGCATTGGCAACATTGTTTACGAACATGTTGACAATGCAATGCATTACAACTCAAATGCATATTATAGCATATAATGCACAAAGCTACTAACATTGAGTGTAATTCTTACGATTTTAGTAAAAGCGAACAATTAGATGAAAAGTTCTTATTAACAACGACCTTCACATGAACGACTCTAGTTAAACTTAAGCCTTCAGGATGTCACTCATTCAACTCATAGTTCATGTAGCCTTCCAATTGTATATCTATCTGAATTTTTCATATCTCAGTCTCTCGCTCTCTCTCTCTATCCCTCTCTCTCTCTCTCTCTCCCTTTCTCTTTCTGCCACAATCTGTCTCTCTTTCTCTTTTAAAAGGTTTAAAATCATTTCAATCGATTAATATTTCAAGTTATTTTACAAAAAAAAAAAAAAAAAAAAAAAATGTTTTTGCACATTTACATTTTATCAGTTAGAGTTATGTTTAAGGGTTTGCCTGTACCTGTATATACCGTTTTAATCTTCTTCTTTTTATTCTCAGCTTCGCTACCTGTAGTTAGTTTATCCTTTTCAGTCATCTCTCTCGCGCGCCAATACATATCCACACACAGGCACAGCGCAACACATATGCACGCACAGGCACATGCACTTGTATGCATCACTAAAGTGTTCATTTGTTGTCTTCGTTTGTCAAATTGTGGTTTCAGTCCTGACAGGAAAGTGTGAAAAATCGTGAGTTATTTAATTTTAACACCTCAGCTAAGGTGTGAGTATGGTCACGAATATAAATGCAAATTTGTATTTATTTACTTATATTGTTTACATTAATACAAACAAGATGTAAATGCGACCGTACGTACACCCATGCACGGGCGCTTTATATACAAGCTTATATAACATATATGTAGGCAAATACAATAATCATAAATAGATTTTTCGGTGATATAAGAAAAATGCCCTGGGACGATTTTCTTAATGTTTCATTTCGTTTGCTGTTGTGCCATTTTGTAAAATTTCTTTATCCAGTGCAATTCTACAAATTTGTTCACGCGGTACAATGCCAATAATTATACCTTGTTTCTGCTTAAAGGCGTTCTATTTATTGAAGTCCTTATCTAAAAGATGGCCCAAAACGTAAACTGATATGGTCTAAGTTTGATAAAACTAATCTTCTTGTCAAGGGTACCGTATTATATGCCTATTTTTGTCTTAAAATGCCTTAAATTAGACTTTTTTGCCATATCAAGGTCTGCTTGTAATGAGTCCCCTTACCGGAAGCGTACCTATCGAAAAATAGCCCTACGTAGTCCAAATATGGTGCACTTAATTTCTGGGTCAAATTAGTACTATGAACCGATTTTCATCATAAGATATTAAAATATATTTGTCTCATTATTTGGGCCCTTTGATTTGAAAGAGAGAGATACACGGTTCATATTTGGTACAGTTGATCTTTATTTCAAACTATTATTACACCGATTTGCATCGTGAAATATCAAAAATTAGAAGGTTCTATCGATTTAATATGCCGAAATACTATTACTCAGGGATTTTTGTCGCGAAATTCTAAATATTACAATATTTTTTCATATAACAACGCAGTGATCGTGAAAACTATCCAATACAATCTTTTCTCAATAGGATTCGTTCCTGGGCAGAAATACATTGGTGTCTTAAAATTTGCCAAAATATTTCAAAAACAGACGGGCAGAGAGAGGGACATGGTTAAATCAATTCAGAGCGTGATCCTGTCTCGATCGGTATAATAAAGAGTGAGAATATCTTAAACCCTTCTGGGTGTTACCTATAACCGCAAAAGCCCGTACCGCGAAAAGAAGGATTGTAGCTGCCTTTTCATAACTCTCTCAGGTGGTTCAAAATAGCGCTGTTAGCTGTCGAAAATATGTATCAGCGAAATTTCATAAAGTATAAAAAATTCCGGATCGATGGATGGAAAAACGTCTATCGCAAGGTTCGTTGATTGAATTTATATTTTTCGCAAGCAAAAGACAAATTGTGTGAAACTTGATTTATTTATTAGCGAACTTAGATGCACAAATCAATTCTGAATATTCATCCGCAACCGCGTTCACAACAAACAGATAATTGAACCTTGCGATCTATAGCAGATGAAGATCTAATATTTGGTAAAAGTTTTTACCAAGTTCATCTAAAGGTTGAACGCAGAACTAGTGAGCATTGGCTAAGTGACACAAATTTCAAGTGCGGTAGAATTTTCAATAAAGCTGATATCCTTAGATAGTAGTGCTTCAGGACTTTAATCCTGGAATTACTTCTCTTGCTGTATTAATAATAATAATAATAATAATAATAAAACCATCACTGAAGAAAACCCCAAAAATCCCATAAAGTATATATATTTTTGATCAGCACCAAACTTTAAATCGATTTCTGTCTGTCTGTCTGTCTGCGCAATGTCTACGGTAGAAATTCCCTCCGTTTGCCAAAATATACTCATCGACTTCAAATTCCCCTCTGTTGATATAAAAAACAATAAAACAAATTCTTCACGTCCACACTAAGTTATCAGTGATCAAATTTTTATTTTTTCACATTTTTTCGCATTTTTTCTGCTTATTACTTATAAGGTAAACAAGATAATATGTTAAAAATTATCCTAACACATTCCTTACAAGAGGATATATTATCTGCCTAAAAATGTGTTAATTCTACAATTAATGGGGTGGACCCCCACAAGGTGGAGGGTATACGAACTCAATTCTATAGTGTATCGTAATTGAATTTTTTATTCAATACCTTTATAAGGTGCAGAAGTAAGCTTTAAAAACTCCATAAAGTATATAAATTTTTGGCCGAATTTCAATTCGTAATGCGTCTAAGCTTGTCCGCATGTCCGCCTGTTCACCTGTCCCTTTGTCCGTCTGCCCAACTATGTATTATCTGTAGAAGATGTTGTCCCGTCTGCAAAAATGAAAATATCGCCTAAATGACCCAAAGGACAAGCCTATGCGGCAAAAACTAAGATCAACTTGCTTTCCACATATGCTTTGCTCTTTACTTCTTTGAAAATTACCTAAGCCGGTCAAAGGAGACGACTACAATGTCCCCAACTCTATGTAACTAAAACTGTGAACACCTTTGCTTTCCGTGTTGTTTCCTTGTTACTCATAAGTTATAACATACACACCATATATTTTATTTAGTTTTTTTCCTTTCATTTTTAGTCCTTTTTTAGGATAACAATGATGCGTATAAAAGATTCGGCCGCGGCCGAATATAATTTTCTTACTTCGTTAAAGAGATTCGGGCATATCAGCAACCATATGACTGACTGACTATCTTAAGCAATACCTGGATGTAGTTCTTATACATAAATATGCAGTTCATACGTGAATTCTTGCTTTAATACAATATAATTAACGGGCAAACAAGAAGACTGAAAGCGTTTGCTAGTCTAGCAGCATTTCCAGCTTTTTTTTATATCAAGAGTAGTGCGTAGTAGTGCTTGGCTCGACCAAGTAAGTTGGCGATAGAATAGAATTTAAAATCAAGCTTGTTTATCTGGATAAAATGTTAACATGCAATGATGAGGCAGACAAACCATTTCCATATTTCACAAAACCCATCTCTCTCTCGGCGAATGTGTATAATGAAATTCTCATTAGTTAATCAACCCCGTTGATTAACGGACATGGATGGATGGATTAAGTATAGAAACTAAAAGTTACGTGACTGATTTGATTTCCACATCTTTCTGTCTCTCTCTCTCTCTCTCTCTCTCTCTCTCTCCCTCTTATTAGTCTTAGTCTCATTCCTCTGGCCTTTACTTAAATGCAGTCTTAGATAATTTTCCACTTTGGAATTTCCAAAGCAAAACAAAGCAAAGCAAAAGAAAAAAAAAAAAAAAAATGAAAAAAAAGTTGAACAAGGTCAAGTAATTCTTTGTCATTTTAATTAAGCTTTTTTTTCTATAGAAAGTGCTTACACGTAATTGTTGCTTATTATTAACAGCACCTACCTGTACATGCATACATACACTTATAAAATAGTTAACAAGAAAACAAAAAATATTAAATTTCAAAAGTATCGATTGATCTGTTTTTCTCCTTTTCGTTCTTTGTAATCGATTGTATGTTATGTTTATTGTTATTTACTTATTTGAAATCGTGCGTGCGT